CCTATCAAATGCGCATGTTCCGGGCGGGGATCGGATTCCGGACAGGTAATCACCAAAGCTAACAAAGCTTTCCATCGCATGGTGTAGGTTAAACTGTACCAGACCTACCTGAGAGGATAAAGGAGGTGACTTGACATGGACTGGCCACCTCATATCACTGTGTAGGCTACATGCGCATTGAAAAAGGCTTCTACTATACTAAATGGAAGGCGATTGCGGGGCTCATCGCAAAAGTGGGATTGATTAATGCCAAAGACTTTATCCTTTTCTCCTTTTGCTGAATTATTCATTCATGGCAATTACCTGAGGAGTATAAACGTATCTAGCTGCTGATTGTTATACTAATTGAGATTACTGTAATGCCATGAGGTCGGTCTCGAAGGGATGGTAGCCAAAGTAAGTCATAAGTGCGGCTACATTCCTACAGTACTATTCGGCCTTACAAGTATGTAAGACAGATGGTCAATTTTGATACCTCCTTATTTTTTTACCACTTATTTTTATTAATTTTGGTTATACATCTGTATTAACTATTCTTAGATTTTAAGTTTTATACGGATGGTTATCAAAAATTTTTATACAAAAAGTAATGACGAACATCACTGCTCAAGTGTAGCGGTAGAAAAGATTTCGAATCTTCGGAGTAGCGATTTCTGAAAAGAAAAATCTTTTATGATCAGTACTGCAATAAACAGTAACCGGTAAACTTCAGGCTCTTCGGAGTGTGCCATGAACTGGGTTTTAATTCAGATTTACAATGGTGTTTTGATGCATTTAAGGTCTTCACAACGAATCGATGTGAAGTATGAAGCTCGGAGTCAGAGACACAGCTTTTGGGACAAACCCGATGACCAGCAGTTAACTGTGGAGGGGAGAAAAAGCTCAAATAGTTCAGGCAGGATTTGACCTTCCATGGTACGGCTCCCTATCTCCAGGTTATATCCCTACCCACTGATATTTAATAAAATAGTACTTCCATGAAGCACATGCTATTACTTTTATAAATCATAATAGTTCGAGTAGAGATAAAGTAATGAACGTACTTTCGAAAAACATTTCGGTGTCCGTTTGGTAAGGGTAATCTGCTCCACCAGTGTGAATGACAGCCATCACAAGAGCATACAATGAATGGGCTGTCATCGTGTCCATATGTAGATCTTTAATTTTGCTGTAGATTTCTCGAGGTGTAAGGTCCAAGTCGGACATTATTTCGTATACCTAAACAGTTGTTCAATTGAGAAATTGATCTTTATTCATTGTCTGATACAAATGTAATTAAATTCCCTATCGTGGGACAGAAACCAGCCTGAAGAGGTGATACCATGATACTATCAGGTAATACCATAGAAGAGATTCATACTACAACCCGCGCAACTCCCTTGGAGGTTATCCTATCCTTTTTGGCTAGAATGAACAGTTTTCTCAGGTATATATGTAATATAGTCTTCATTGGGGTGGTTGTGGTGTGGGCAGTGCTAAGAAGCGCGTTATCACGCGCATGATCCGCGGTTGGAATCCCGGATTGGGGTCTAAGGCCAGCCGCGCTTTCCATCTCTCCTCAATCGGCCAGCAGTACCTTCTATGAGGATAACAGCTCTGACCTCGACAGACTGGACACATCTAGTCATTTGACAGGCTACATACGCAATCATTACGGCACTATGATTCTGAATAGAAGTCCCAAAAAGAGTTCACGACCCTCTCTTTCCTATCAATTGCTAGTAATAAGGAGTGGGAGGTTTCCTAACATTTAATACCTCCCTAGTTGTCAGTAATGATAACTGATGAAACTATTCTCAGAAACAGAGGGAACTGTATTCTTTGAATCATTTTACAGTACTACAACCGTTCCTCTGGATGCGTTTACCATAGTGCTCTATCTGTTTTTTCTTCTAAGTCGTTTTTTTTTGACAAAGATGAATTTCTTACAGAAGCTACTAACCTTTGGATAGACTTCTGGTAGTTTCTCGAGAATCATTGTCGTATTTTTGTTGACATCTTTCCAGTATTCTTCAATTTTATTGAAGTATTCGTCTACACCTTTCTAAAAACTCTTTAATTAATTTACTTCTATGCACTGACCTCAATTTCGGGACCTTGCTTCTTCGCCCATTCATGGATTCGCTTCAGCTTCTCATTCATTGACATCAAAAGGTTTCGTAGAATACCATAATACTCCCATCGTGCTTCAAAACTTACTTTCCTGAAAAAAAGAGCTCGATGAATTTAGTAGTAAAGATAAGTTAATCAGGACTGCGCCCCGTAGTCGATGCGCTAGAACTTATCGGGGCATTTGATTGTGTACTGGATTCGGTACCAAAACTTGTGGGCCACAGATCATATGGAGACAACCTTCAAACTCCAAAA